CCCAGAATCCAGAAACGTGTAGGTATGTCTTTGTATCACCGGTACACAGAAAAGCACACCAACGGCAAGTAGGGAAACGATCCTAAACCAATTGACCTTTTCGTCAAAGCGGAGGCTAGAATCGGAGCATATCGTCTCAAGCTGAATGAAAACTGGAGCCCAAAACCAAATGGATATGCGGCAATCACCAAAATAATCACAAACCCGATTTTAATAATGGGAAGAGACTATATGATGCCGAAAAAATCTCTTCGCCATCGAGATTGTTCCAGTAGGAAACACCTAAACAAGAAATTGTCTGGTTTACTGACGGCTCCAAAATGAAGGAAATGAAAAAGCAGAAGCTCTGGCACGGCTGAAGAAGCAATTGGCACCACAAAATCTTCGGTAAAAATAAAAACAGGCCAATGGCTGTATAGACAACACCAAACTCACTGACAAAATCTTCCGAAGCCCAAACACAGTAAGCTAATGGTACAACAACTTTCACAAGTTTTACTGAAGAGATCCTACAACTAAACAGGAATCAAATCAGGCTATTAACTGGAAACTGTTGCCTGAGAAAACACCTTCAGACGATGAGCATCTCCCAAGAAGAACCAATATGGAGACTTTGTGACGAGAAGGATGGAACCGCCATCCACAGTCTTCGAATGTGAGGCTTTAAGCTGGTAAGATACAGACAGATAGGGCCACAAGATCCTATCTCTAAACTCACCAAAAGCCATACTGTGAAGGGGCTCCTAAACTAATCAAGGTCACGAAACTTCTCACTAACTAGAAAGACGAACAGGAGAATACAATAAGCCGACGGCTCTAGTATTGGGGCCACATAGCCCGGCCTGTTCACTCTGCATCCCCACCAACCACCACCACCACAAATCAATTCTAGTATATCCCCGGTCCCCCCCATTCATTTCTGTATGCTTTCCTTTTTTTCAGTAGATGTGTTTAAAGATGCTATTAATCTTAGAACAGTGTTCTTCAATGCCGTCTGGTCTGGCCTGCAGCACTAGCAGTGATGTTGTAAAGCTGCCTGTTAAGACGTTCCTATTCTGATCTTATTTCATTGTCCGACAGTAGTTTAGGATCAGCCCTTCCATCTCTCTAGCTTTTGCTGATCGCAGTTTAATACTAGCGCAGATTGAATTATGCCAGGATTCAACATCGATACCCTGTCCATATTTAGGCATATCTTCAATGTTCCAAGCCCAGGATTCAAGTCCACTTTATTGCTTTCTGGAGTAGGGATGACTGAAACACCGTATGTTTCGAACATAGTTTGAGTCATCCTTAGGGCTTCTTCTAATGAAAAATGTATTTTATCATTTGATTTTTGAGAGAGAGAAGGGCCTGTTTAAGCTGCTTTTGAAATCCTTCGATTTTCTCGTCAGTTTTTCGGATGTTAGAATCGTATAAACATCCAAAATGTTGATGTTGGTTGGCCTACTTTGAAGGTGCAGGAGAATTACTTTTTCAGAGATTGGCGGTTGGTGTTGGATGTTCGCTCATACAAAGCCACCAGTTTCCATTCGTGAATAACATTTTTGATGATGGCCAGGTCCAGTTGGTCAGGGATATTGACACCGAGAAGATCTTCTTGTTCCAAAACAACGGCTCCGTTGATTTCATGCGCCTTTGGTTTGGTTTCCAAAGAATAGACTTGAAAGCCAAACGTAGAGCCATTTTATGAAAAATACATTATTTTACCAACCGAAAGTAGGAGTTCAAAAACGAATCCTATGTATTTCGAAGAGGTTATTGAAATGAGATTTTGTCTTTAGTTCGATTTTGGACACAGAAAATGTGCTTCAATATTTTCTAAAGGATGTACCTAAATTATAGATTGACTTTTTATGAGACTTAAGTAGTCCCGAATATTTATTGGCAGTCAAATAATTTTATAAGTATTTATCCTTCTATAGGAATTTGCTTATACCTACAAACCTTTTAAGAAAAAACCACACAGAGTTGAGAGAGAGACTACAGCCTACAGCACATATGAATATTTTTAGTAGGTTATAATTTGCTGCATTTGTCGAACTTGTAGTCGATATAGTGTTCTTCACATTATTTGACAAACTTTTTTGTAAGTAGGTGTACTGTTCACTCCACTCACAGGACTAGGACAACTTCCTAAAGAGAATCCACACTTTGGCCTTTGGTTTGACCTTAAAATAATTTTATAAAATATCATCTATAATTGTTCAATTTAAATTTAATTAATCAAGAAGCTTATAGGAAATTTATCAGATTTTGCATAATTCAGTGGTAATTAAAATAAATTTTAATAATAGGCTCATTTTTATACAAAAATGTATGAAAAAAATTAAAATATCTAACCATTTAGATGCAAGGATGCGAAAGTAAAATATTGCAATCGCAGCACCTATTCAGAATACAAGATCATGAAACAAAGAAACGTGAGTTGAATACAGGAAATAAGAGTATTTATAAAAGTATATAAGCCAAAGCAACACACCCTAATGTGTCATTTAACAAATATACAAAAAATCCACGATGATTAAAATTATAACTGTTTACAGGTGGGAATGTAATAATTTAATTGCACCTTACAATATTACTAACTAAACGATACTCTAAGTGAAACCAAATTTGAAATGTTAATTTTAAAAAAGGTCAATGCAATAAAAGTTAAATGTCAAATAGAAGAAAAAAAAATTGCCTAGTAGTAAGCATCTTCTTTTATTTATGTACACATTATCAAATGGCAATCAATAATTTAATAGATGGTACTTATAAAGATTCTCAAAGGCCTTCGCCTGACATTTGATTTTTAATAAAATCGAGATCGTGTTCAAATCACATAGTTGCGGGGTAGATTCCATTTTCATTGTCTACTAAAATTCGTAGCTAAATTGCAACAACCTTTACCATTTACATAACTAATAGTTAGCTTATTCTTATTTGACCGAAACAAATTTTATGCTTTATGCACACACAAGTTTCTCTCATTTAAATGAGAAAAAAATTGTCACATAAAGCTTACGTATTTTATAATAATTTTATTTGCGTTTGCTTATAGGTTCTCTTTCTTACCCAATAGTAAAGGTTCCTATGTTTATTTTTAAGCATGTAATAGATTTTTTACTTTTTTGTCAATGATTCCTCAGATTCTTTGAGGATCTCTGCCAGATAATTATTTATTTGGAACTGTCCAAATCATCTGCATCTGCAATAATCTTATACCTAAATGTAAATTTTCAATTTAATTTGAAAATAATAAGATTAGTAATTTGGGGTAGGTAGTTATACTACGCGTTCTGTACAGCAATAATTCTCAAATTATTACTAAATATGTATCAGCAAAGTCAACTGTAATTTTTCCCTTGTCGTATGCAATATAAATTAAGTATTATTTAGATTATGCCTTTAGAAAGAACATGTTAAATACCATTTCAAAAAAATATTTAGCACATTATTGGCAAACGTTCAATTAATTCTTTACCAACTTTACCTCTTCGACATTTTGATGAAATCTCCTCTCGATTATCAAGTTATTTAAGACCTGTGATTTCTCTATATTTCCTTGTAGTTTTTAGATCAAATCAATAAACTTTATGGTAAATTCCACTATTTTATTGTCCCAAGTCATTACAAGGAAAAATAATTTGCATTTTACTTTTGTTACTTAGTTGATTCTTAATGTGAAAGAAGGGTTTTTGACTACATTTAGATTTATATTTTTTCTGATTGTTCAAAAGATTTTCAATTCTTATAAGGAAACCCAAGTTTTAATAATAGGCAAGCCAAGTCAAAAATTATTGATGATGAGTTTTCTTCTATTATGAATTGATGTGATCTTTTTCAAAATTAACCTCTAGCGTTTGAATCCATATAGTATTCCAATTGATTCCTGAATTCCTGTAATAAAATTATGCGGTTTAATTTTCAATTTCATAGAATAAATTCATGATTAATCGATCTACAAACCCAATACAATACTTCCAAATTTAGTTAACATAACGAATTACCCTGACACAGCACCGCTTTCTTTTACTAGTTTTACTATAGCAGCAACAGGTACATACGTCCCAATTATTACTTTGAAGGACATCTTTTTAAAAGGTTACACAGAAAAAAATTCACTTTTAAAAAGTCAAGGTGTCGCACGAGGTGTTCAAAGAATTATTAAAGTGATAGGTGTACCCCGTACTCTACGAAGTAAATTTATTAAACCAATAATTTTTTCTGGTAAATGGATGCTGACCTTTACCAGTGTGGGTGATTTTTGAAACTTCAAAAAACCTTGGCAGTGAGTCCTTGGCGTGAAGTTTTCCATACTAAACTTCAAGGACATTGATCACCAATTAAGCAGACGAAATCAGTAAAGTATTCCACAAGGCTTAAATCATTAACTATCAAGAGAAGATTAAATCAATTTGATCATCTCAAGAAAAAAAGTGAAAGAATTAGTGAAATTAAAATGACCTGCGGCGACTTCGGAATCCGAGGATCAAGGTCAACCAATGCATTGACCTTCCCAAATAAAGAAAGTGATTTTTCGTAATAATAATACGAGTTTTGCTCGCTTTTGGCTATATTGATTACTTCTTCTTACTGTATCCGGTTGTGTAAGAGCATTTATGTAAATGATTTCTTTCTTTAATCTTGATTTACCTACCTTTAGAGAAGATATTAAATTAAACTTTGTATGTAACCTATTGTAGCTTGAAGGGTGTAAAATCCTGGTTAACCGGTAATCAGACGCAGATGTATTAAATAGTAATAAATAGTAAATAGTCGTAACTAACAATAATAAACCGTTGATTACTTAATATTCCAAAAGCCTACATAAATCGGGGTCAAATTTTAAATAACGGCGCTACTTTTTCATACAAGGTAACAAACAATATTATATAACACGTTATGTGTATTTTTATTTTATTTATTTTTGTGATAACAATTATGGTTCTCAGGATGACGGTAATTACCCCTTATAATTAGTTAAGCTACAACAATGTTTTCTATTATTTCAGATTATTTTGCACTGCAACAGTAGCTCTCACCTTTCCAGCTCAAGAAACACAACTAGTGACAGAAAGCAAACCTGGGCAAGAATATGTTTTCGTACAATCTTCGAGCTCAGGAGCCAGACCCATATCCAGAAAAGACAAGACTGATGAAAAGGTAAGTACTGCACGTTTTCCGATGACATCGAATAATATTTATTTATTGTAGCAGCAACACTTTGAAACTGCCCATAAAATACCTCCACGTCTGACCTTTGCGTTAAACGATGCGGAAGATGAAGAAGTACCAGTCAAACCAGTTAAAACTGCTGGAAAGAAAGTACACAAAAGACAGGCAGCCGAGTCGCCAGCTCCAGCACCACCAGGTGCCATTAAGCTGAATGTGGCTCAACTTCTAGAAAAATACAAAAGTGTCATGAAAACCACTGAAGCTCCTTCAACTACAACCACAACAACCACCACTAGACCAAGTAGAAGAAGAATCAAAAACAGGAACAGATCTAGAAGAGATGCAACAACACCAAGCTCTGTATTGACAACAGCAAAAATATCTCCAAAAAGTATTGATACTGACGTAGTCGGGTCTGCTAGTGAAAAACAGCGTTCCAGAATTCAGATTAAAAAAGGCCCAAATGGACAAGACTATGAATACGAATATGTTTACTATTACTATGATGACGATGAAGATGCCAAGGACAAAAAAAACAGCAATGCCCATGATGGTCCAGCCAAAAACAGCATTTCCAGGAACGATAAACAAAGAGAAAAACATACTCCAGAGGTCAACGAAGTGGTACCATCGAGAAGCAAGTCCAGAAGTAGACAACTCGGCGAAGAAGAGTCTGTTCAAGAAGAAAGATTACCTGCTAACACCAGGTTTGTTATTTCTAACAATGCTAACCATTAACATTTTGTGTCATTACTAACCAATCAATGTCATTTCATCATATTGTTAACAAAAGAACAGACTTCGTAACACTTCCAGATTTCCTCCAAGAAGTAGAAACTTGCAAACGACTCCTTTGCCCGAAGAAGAGGCCAAATCCACTGTAGCTAGAGGAAGAGGAAGGGGAAGACCAGCTGGTGAAGGCTCAACTGCTGCGTCTGAAGAAGATAATGTTTCTGATGAAACTCAAGTGAGTGCAATATTTTTTTTCAATATTCGCTTTATCACTAACCATTGCACTATACATACTTTTCTAAATCCTGGATCTACATTTTCTTCTTCTCTCTGTTCCAATAACAGCATGTTTGCAGGTTCCTTCTTCTTCTCAATTCTGTCTTTCCTTATCTTCGTGATTTGATCAAAAAAGATAAGAATGTTCCTTGCAGGGTTCAAGAGGTCGTACAAGAGCAAACGTCCGTCGGCCATCGCTTGAACTGGTTGATAGTGAATCCTTTAACACGCACTCGGCCGCCCCAGCACCTTCGGCCGCCCATTCGTCGCCCAATTTTCCCGCCCAATTGCCCGCTGGACCGGTACGTTTTTTGGGCGCCACTCCGAACGAATTCTACGATCTCCCAGTAAATTTTGTTAATTTTTGAGAGAATACCCCCTCTCTGTATAGTTGGCACTGAATAATTGCACAACTAACTATTGTCACCATTGACTGAAAAATGAAAATGCACCAAATGATAATGGCACTAACTTAGTGGGCTTTCACCAATAAATACTTACTAGAAAAACATTAATTTATCTATGTCATTTTCATAGGGTGGAATCTGTCACCTCACCAAGTCACCACAGCTTTAAGGGTGCCCCACACCGCCATATCGCGCTGGTGTGGGGGATCCTTTACTATTCCTTACGGGAAAACGTTAAAATTCTCCATAAATTCTCTCAAATTATCACAATACAAATAAATCGACGGCTCTTTCTTAATCACCAATCACCATTTAGCTTAGTTTGAACCACCAACCTTATTAACAAATTTTAAAAAATATAGGAAGAACCAGCAGACAAACCAGCAACACCAAAAATTTCAGCCGCAGTTGCAGAAGGAACTGACGAAACCTCCAAACCTGAAGATTCAGAGTCCACAACATCAGCTACTGGAATGAACAAGGTAAATTATAGATTTTCACTCAAAAGATTTTTTTTCGAAGATATTATTCCAGATTGCTTTGGACCTCTACGCCATTTCCCAAGGAACCCAAAAACTCTTTGGTGAAGAAGGTTCAGAATTGAGCACTGAAGAAGGCAACACTGATGTTACAACCGTAGATTCTTCATCTACCGAGGAAATCGAATCCACTACTACAACTACTACCACAACGACCACAACAACAACCACTCCAGCTCCCACCACTAGAAAAACCACTACTACCACAACAACCACTGAAGCACCAACAAAAGCTAGTAGATTTGGTGGTAGACGTTCTCCATTATCAGCAAGAAAATCCTCCACAACCACCACAACAGAAGCACCACCTTCCACAGAAGCAAAACCAAAGAAATTTGGAAGACCCAGTTTTGGAAATAGAGCAAGAACCAAGACTACAGCAGCTCCAGCAGCAGTTGAAGAAGAAGTTAACAAAGAGGAAAGCAAATCGGTCAGCCAAGCCAAGCCCACTAGGTCGAGATTCGGCGGACCAAGATCAAGAGTGCGTACCACCTCAGCTCCTTCAGAATCAAAAGAAGACTCCAGCACTGCTGCTCCAGCTGGGGCTTCAAGTAGCAGACCTTCACTGCCCAGGGCGAGACCAGCATTCAATTCCTTAAGAACTAGAGGAAGAACCACTACAGCTGCACCATCTTCTGAAGGAGAAACATCTGCAGATTCTGAAGCTAGCTCCTCGGAACCTAGCAGCACAACTGCCAGGCCTGGTAGGCGTATTGCTGGATCAAACGCTAATATTAAAGCATTGAGGCCAGGACCAAGGCTCAATCTAGTTGGCAGACGCGGCCAGAGTACCACAACAAGTACTGAAGCTGCGGCTCCAGAAACAGAAGATCACGTTACTGGGGATGAGGATGGATCTAATGCTGAAGCTGCTAGTGAAAAGGTAAATACTTGTTATTGTGTGACGAGCAGATCGCAAGTTTTCGTTACATTTTTGTGAATATATTTGTTTTCAGGAAGAAGCTCCAGCTCCAGTGGATAATAGCCCCTTAGGAAGGCTACGTAACAAAAGTCGCATTAACATCCAACCCAAAGCCAAATCTGCAAGCGCAGCTAGTGCTAGTGCTCCAGTTCAAGTAAGAAGAGTCAATCCTTTATTGGCTAGAAGACGACCAGGCCAAACTACCGAGGCTCCATCTAGCAGTGAGGCGCCTAGTAGTGAAGCTACTGTGCCTGAAGGTAACAATTATTAATCGAAATACATTCTACGGTCCAATATTAAAAGGTAATAATTTAGCTGAAGAAGAGACTGTCGAAACTGAGCCATCTGCAAGTTCCAGCAGCAGTACCACAACAGAAGAACCTAGAGGAATCAATAAATTGTTGGCCGGTAGAAGGCGCCTAGCCACCAGAACACCAGGCACTATCAACCACAAATAAAAAGGCTGAATATTGACTCAATAAAATAAAATAACTTCAGCGCGCTGTGAAATGCTACTGATACAAATCTATAGCAACTTTGGAAATTTAAGCAGAAAGCTGTATTGTAAATGTCCAGTCTAAGCACAATAATATTCCAATTAAAATTTTTAGTGATAAGTAGATACTTAGTTTTAAATAAAAACTATGCAGGCCTGACGTAGAGTGCCAATAATAATAGGGTACAGAATGTAAATTTGTGAATTGAAATTTACATTTTGTATTTTTAAATTAAAATATTTTTTAAGGTTATTTGAAATTTAAAATTGGTCGCTCATAGGTTTGTGGTGACCAATATTATAATATGTTAAGTGCTAGAATATGATTTTTTTGTAATTATTTATTATTATTTGGTTTTATTTGTTATTTTTTTACTCTGAATTTGTAAATAAATATTAATAAACGAGATATAAAATTAGGTCGATAATTCAGAATTTTATTTAAACATAATCCCATTTGTGAACTAATAACATAGCAAAATAAATCCATGCACTGCATAAGACTTAATGGATACTTTCTTCATTGGGGAAAATCAGGGGAGATAGAGATAGGGCCGGATTTTGTAATGAAACACTTTCTTAATGGTTTTAGAAACATATTTCACATAAAAAAAATAACCATATACTGGAATGTACATTATTTTAACAAACGCTATTATAGATCATATCTGGTAACAATGAAAAACATAAAGTTCTATTAATAAATAAATACTAATAAATCTAGCCGCAAATATTGAAATAGACCTTTTAAACAAATTAGAAAATTAAGCAAATATCACATAATCAAAATTAAATTACTCATAAGAAACAAAATGTGACAAATTTTAATATTTATGATAAACTCTTAAGTATTTTCATAAAAAAATATGTTTTATATTTCTTACATTTTTTACTTTAATGTATACTCCCTCTTACCTTTCGGGGTGTTTTTACTATTCTACTGTTGTCGTATTGTTGAGCAGTTATATACAACAACACGCCGATTATCACTGTGATGGTTCCCAATCCACTCAACTGAGTCACTGGGTTGCCAAACATGAAAATTGACATCCAGATAAGGCATGCACGTTTGGCAGTGTTTGCCACACTGAAATGGAAATTTTGATTAATTTTGGATTTTTCAGCTACACTTATAAATATATTTACAATAAACAAAGTCAAAGGAAGTGTAACCCAAAAATAAAGAATTTAGTACAAAAAATTCTAAGAACAAATTTCAAACTGCATCATATGCGAAATGATTGTATGCGTTATTTATAGGTGGTGCTTTTAATTTGTTGATAATGGCTTTTGGGTAAACTTTGCCCTGAGACATAACAGAGGCATACCAAGAATAATTAAATATAGAGGTGCACACCAGAGATAATAGTTTTACACCAACTCTGATGATCACTTGGACAAAGCTCCATCAAGAGCTCCATACTCCACCATCGATACGCCCGATTAGGATTTCTGGATACTGGTAACACTGCAGGCCCCAATAGAATTTCAACAATTTGCTTATACCATTGCAGTGCTTTAATTGTTGATGCACTTTGTGCTCTATTCCAGATATCAATCTTTCTGCTGTCAATCATGCACAAGCTAAGAAGTCTATACCTTTTCTCGAAGAGTAGGCAGATCATTTCCAATGAGTGTATGGGTTTTACAAAGGACACTCCACTGGCAGAAAACAACATGCGATTCGAATCAGATGAAGTTATGGTTACTACAGAGGTACCTCAGGGGTGCCTCAGCGCTCAAGCCCTGGACCAGTGTTATTTGTCTACGCTTACCCGTTTTATTTTGAAGTGGACAGTGCTTCTGTAATTTCTGGGAGTCATGCTTGACCCCAAACTTACTTTCGAGTGCCATGTAAACCATATCTCCAAGAAAATTACATCTGGAATACTTATATGTACTTAGAAATCTGTGTAGGACCACCAATTTGAGTGTCGCTCTAATGGCCTACCATGCTCTAGTCCATTCCGTCATTTGCTATGCTCTGTTGGCTTGGGGACATTCAGCTCATGCCTCTAGAGTGTTTGGTTTGCAGCGGAGGGCAGTGAGAGTTCTGGCTCATGTCAGATATCGAGATGACCCCAAACAGTTTTATCGTGATTTTCAGATTCTAACCGTACCATCACAATACATTTATGACTGCCTACAGTACATGCACCGTAATTTGCATAATCTCGCGGCTCTGGGTGAAACACACCATCATGATACCAGACATCGCGACAATATTAGGATTAATTTTCTCAGACTAGGAACATCAAGGAATGCAACACTTTATTTTGCTCCTGTCTTTTATAATAAGCTGCCTGTCTCTGTAAGAGAGTTGACAGCTCAGCGATTTAAGTCTGTAGTTAAGAAATATTTGTTAGGCCAGATTTTTTATCATTATAGGGAATTTCTGGATAGGGATGTTGCTGCTGACTTTGATCTACTGTTGTGACACTGTGTTTTATTTAATTGTTTAATTGATAAATTAGTATGATAAATGACAAATGAAAAAATTTATAAATTTGTATACATGATGTCTCTGCGTATTGGCGAAAGAGCAGTGCAGTCACAGAGAATGTGCTCTATAGTCTCGTCTTCTTGACTACAAGGGTGTGGCACTAAGATGCAACCTAAACAAATGTTTGTTGAACTGACAGTGGCCAGACAAAATGCCCATTATTAAGCGACAGGCATAGCCTTTTTCTGGTCAACGACAGCTTTTGGCTCTCTGCAGCTTTATCTGGATAGCTTAGCAGTTCCTTGAATAAGTTGCAGCCAATCGTATCGTCCCAGCGTTTTTTGAAAAGGATATGGGAGCGTTTTTTTATCATATCTTTGGCTGCCGAAATGGTCAGCCCCACGAAGGGCTCCGGTCCAGAAGGCTGTAGCCTAGCGGCCCTCCTAGCTAGAGCGTCGGCAGCTCGATTGCCTTTGCTGTGATCATATCCTTTGATCCAGCTGACTATCACCGTATTGCTGATCGACGCCTCTGTGAGTGTACGGTGGCAATATTGTACTAGTTCTGACGTGAGTCGCGGTCTAGATAGGGCTAGTACTGCTTGTCTGCAGTCCGTGTAGATGTGCACGATCTTGTCAGTGATATTGTTGTTGACTATTTGTTCGGCCGCGATGATTATGTCAGTAATTTCCGTTTGGCGGACATTTGGCATGGAGCCAAGAGCTATAGCTAGGTTCAGTTTCAGGCCTTTGAAGTATACTCCGCATCTCGAGCCTGTTTCAGTTTTGGAACCAGTGTAGATGTTACTTACCTCTGCCACTCTGTTGTTTCCAATGCCTTTCATGTTGATTGCGTAATGCTGTTTGAAGACGAAACATGGTGTTGCAGAGTCCACTCTCCAACAATAGAAGCGAGTTCGTTGCCTCACGCCATATGCGGGCTCTCTGCAAACCGAATTCTGCACTAGGTTCTATTCCAATAGTGCGGAAGCGCATCATTGTGGTTGAAACGACCTTCTTGACATAAGTATCCAGGGGCGTCAAACATAGAATTACTTCCAAAGCCCTAGTTGGTGTGGTTTTCATTGCACCAGTTATGTTGAGGCATGTCATTCTTTGAACGCAGTCTAGTTTTCGGCTTATAGTAGTTCGACCTTATCTCTCCAGACAATAGCCCCATAGGTAAGCATAGGCCTGATGATGTTTGTGTAGATCCACATAACTACCTTGGTGGAGAACCGCCAAAGTGCTATTCTATTGATGCAAAACTGTTCTATAAATAGCACTTTATTGGTCAATCGGACATAAATTAAAATCTCGATTAAAATATTTCCAGGAGAATTATTCCCTAAGCTTATATCCACATCCACGAAATTTTATTTATCTTGGCGAGATCTGTAAGTATTTGTATACCTAATATATGTACTCAAGCTCTGATAAGTTCTAGGCATCTTATCATTTAGGTAATATAGATTTATTTAATTGCCTAATAAGGTGGATAATAAATACTATCACTATTTTTATACTTCATACCATAGTATTTAACTTGAGTTCCTTATTCAAATCTTATTACAATATGCCAGATAATTTACTTCAGCATTAACATTACTAACGAGATTATTAAATACCTTTATATACATAATTTGATTATTTTTTGAAAAGATTGTAAGTATGACCAAAAATTTTTCTAATGATAAAATTGAAAAACCATAAGTGACATAAATAAAACGTGAACTGTTAGTACATCAATCAATGCCTTTGAAAAGATCTTATTTAGAGAAGGGTTACTTTTATCAAAGATTACTATTATGATGGTCCTGCTATTTGCACTTTGCAGTCAACTACAACATTTCCACTTGTAATTTAAACATTATAATTTGTAATTTGGAATATTTATTTTATTTTTGAAGAGTATAACTTTAATTTTGGAATTGAAACTTGGAAACTGTAAATTAACAATTGGAAATAAAATTTGAATTTTGGAAAACATATTATGAAAATTATAATATAAGAAATTTGAAATGGTTATTTGATTTTTAGAAAACCTTAAGTTAATTTTGAAAAACAAAAATTGTATTTTGAAAAACCACACTAATTTGAGAGAAGATAAAATGTCATTTGAATAAATGGAAAAATGACCTACTTAACTGACTTATCCATATTTTGGGGGGTTTTAAAAATTAATTTTTATTTTCCAAATTATATTTTACCTTATCTAAAATACCGGTTTCCAAAATATATTTCATTCTTACCATTTACAAGTTTTATTTTCCAAAATTAAAATTACAATTCCAAATTTCATTTTTTTTTTTTTTTCAAAATTAAAATAACTATTCCAAATTTCAATTTACATCTTCCAAAATTAAACTTACAATTCCAAAATTCATTTTACACAATTCAAAATTAATTTTTCATTATCCAAATACCTAACAACTGGAAATGGTGTAGAAAGTGAGGTAAATTAGTATAAATAGGTTCAACCTGTGACAGTTTTGCATGTTAAATCAGGCGCTGTTACTCTATTTCTCTAGCCAACAAATAACTAACTTTTGAGCCATATTTTAAGCGAAGTTTTGAGAAAATCTATCAAAATTTGAACTACCTCTCTGCTTCAACATAGCCCCTAATCGGCCACTGAGATTATTTAAATTGGGATTAAAGTTTTCAAGATCAAATTGGTTATGCCAGGGTATCTCAACGCTTTGATTTCTCCAGTTTGCTTGCAAATGGAGACTCGAAGAAGTTTTACAGTTTTATAACCAGCCACAATGCAGCAAAAAAAATAAGTATGTGCAAATTCACATATGAAATATGTTACTAATAATTGCTTTCCAACCACATAGAAAAAAACATGTCAAAAAGCAATTACCTACCTAATTAAGAACAGATACACTCCACAGAAGGTAGATCAGTGCACAGTCCTTTATGCTTAAGGAAAGTTTTGTCTCCGCTAGAATTCTTAGATTTTTTCTCAATATTTTTGAATTACACACACTTCTTTTTTATCAAAAAAATAATTAACCAGTGACTTACCTATGCGTAACAGGACTAATATAGTCCATTAACACGTAGGCAGTGATGCTTTGAAAATGGAACAAAATTCCATTTAAAATAAAATAACCCAGTAAATCTATGCTAAAATTGGCTACTTTCAATTCGACCAGTAGAAGAGTTGTGGGTATTTGAACTACTATACTGGCAACGCTTGTGTAAAACTGGAGTTCTGCAGGACTGAAAAAAAAATATACATATATTCATATAGGATTAAATATCATTTTCTGGATTTAACGTGGGTTGTAGGACTTGGCACAAAGAAAACTCAAGCTAAGTCCTACAACCCACGTTAAATCCAGAAAGTCATTTATCAGGATACTAAGGGGCAGATTCTGTAACTTGTCGTTACTTGACGACATCGTTGTGGTAACGACTTTGATGTGAACGATATTTTCGGAAATCGTATTCCGTAACCGAATCGGTACGTTCAACTTAAGTGACAAATCGTAACGACAAATATCGTGTGATTTTACGAAGGTTGGTAGTGCTGATTTAGCATAAGCTAACTTCAATTAGTTGTAACTGTCAGTTTTCGGTCAGGATTTGCCGCTCTTTTCAGATTAGTTTTTAGATATTTACTGCCTAACTGCGCAAAATTATTATAAATAAAATTAGAAATTATTATAATGAGTATCGAAGGTGAGAAAGCTAAAGGTATATCGGCTAGAACAACTCGGGATCAATATCAAATGTATCTTGACGAGCTAGGCACAAACAAATGTTTCCGCGAGAATCAATTCGATGGTTCCGAACCTGATCTGATTCGAAATACTCGGGCTAAACTGAAAAATTAAATGCTTTGGAGGGTCCTATCAGGACTGTAGCGGGATAGAAAAGGGTAAGTTATCTGCCTTATCCTGTCCAAGTCGTATTACCTTTTTTTAATGAAAATAATGGTGGATTCAAGATTTTCAGCGATTGGAAAAGTCAAACCAAAGCGAAGGCACGAAAATATCATTTGCGAAATCATGTTCCCCATTCACTAGCTGTGCATCGTCAATTTCATTTTGATCAAGATGCTCATCATCACTGTTCTCCTGTATATTGATATTTTCAAGAACCAATATATTTCTGTCCCCTATAATGTTGTGTAGAATTGCACAGGCATAAACTATTCGTGCAATGAAAGCTGAATGGTAATGAAGAACTCTATCAGGATATAGGCACCTCCAGACCCCCTTCAATAACCCATTAGTTCGTTCTATACAATTGCAGATTTGTCGGTGTCGCTGAGTATATCTACCTTCAGGTGTATTAGGTGCAGCACGAACGATGGGAGTTAACAAATAGGGCAAAACGGGGTATCCCGAGTCTCCGAGTAAATATGTTCCATGGCTGCCATGAAGAAATCTCTGATGCATAAATCTTCTTGGATTACTCATCCTCCAAATAGCTGCGTCGTGAACGCTCCCTGGAAACTGGGCATTTATGGCTAATATTTCACAATTAGAATCGCAAATTATTTGACAGTTTATGCTGTAAAAGTTCTTCGGATTCATGAATACGTTCAGTAGATATCCAAGGTCTTCACCACGTGATGGAACTATTTTTATGTGGGAACAACCAATACATCCGATGATGCCAGGAACATGAAACTTGCGATAGTATCCGTTTGTAACTTCTGCTATCTGTTGAAAATTTTTGGGAAATTGGATGTACCTATGTGTTAGCCATATGGTTAACCATAGCATTAACCACTTCATGCAAGCACCGGTTAACGTTAGCCTGCGATGATCCCTTAAACGTGTTTTCACCCACAGATTTTTGGTAGCTGCCATGAGCTAAGAAGTGAAGCGCTAAGAAGAATCTAACTACAGGTGGTGTTCTGGTGTTTCTCACTCCAGTATCAATGTGCGGTAATATTTCCTGAAAAAAGTCTTTAGCCGCCTCAACATTTAGCCGGTACATCATCTTAGAAACGTTCTCGGGCAATTTAAAAGCATTACTATTATCTCTCAACCGGCGGAACGCATTTCTTCCTTGCTCTCTGAAAAAACGGATAAAAAAGTTCCAGTAAGGGTTAGGTAAATTATTTATGGTTTTGACGACCCTTTTTGTAATTCATCCAACATGCCATGCAACTAACGCTCTATCGTCGATATTTTATATTATTTCACACTTTATTGTTTTTAATGATCACTCACAATTAAACAAAAACTTTGAACGACTGCCTGAGAGGTGCCGCTAACAAACGATGAAAACTGTCACTTCTTAACGACTGTCGTTCGATATAGAATAAGTAAAGTCGTTCAGTAACGATTATCGTTCGATACAGAATACTAATGTTGTTCAGTAACGATTGTCGCTCATTAACGACGTCGTTATAAGTTACAGAATCAGCCCCTAAATCCACATTAGTTAAATATCATTATGCAATAATTTAAATTTTATTTTGTGAATTTTTTAGATGTCTTGAGCCAATTTATATTATTGTATTATTAATAGACTTCCACTTATAGGCAAGCAGTATGCCTACCGCCTACCTGAAATCAGCCTTTAACTGAAGGTCATCTTGCATATAAACCTATATTTTTGAAATTTTGAGAGTAGCGTGAAGCGTGAGTAAGAAATAATTTTTTTCTACTTGCGTGCGCAAAGTAATCACTTTGCACACTCATTTGCGTGTGCAAAGTTGAACGTTGCGCACGGAAACTCTTTGCGCATTCATTTCTGTTTACGCATAATTACCATAATTATACTTGATTTTTCAATGTTTTGATGGTTTCTGAATAAACTTATATTCAAAATGAAAGGTTTTAGTTGAAATTAAAGCATAGTTGACAGGATGTTTCCTATCAAAGGTGTTCAAATTGGACCAGCCTGTACTGCTGCTAGGAATTTGTAAAATTTTTGATTTTTAAGAGACTCTCATGAAAATATTCTTGCTGATACTAGAAGACATTCTGAGGAATTGCAATAGATTTTAAACGATTTATGAAGATTTTGATTTGATTGATTTTTCTATTTTAACAATTCAAAGTCTACTTTTTTAAGATACTCGTAGAAAAAATATTGTTCCTAACATTTGCGCAAAGTGTCTTTCCCGCACTCAAAGCTTATCCAAACTCCGCTTCACGTCGTTCGTCTAACTGCTTTTTCGTGCGGAAAAGTATCACTTTGCGCACTAGTTAGGAAAATAACTATTATGCAATTTCTATTCATCATGAGATGATTTTAGGCAACTTGAATTGGGTTTTGAGTTGAATTGGTAGCCATGCTTTTAAACTGTTGATTTTTAGCAGCGCTAACTATACAGGTCTGGCAAGTCTGCATCTTATGGGCCAATTTTAATGCAATAGAATGAAATGTTTAGAAAAAGTCTAAGTTTAAATAGAGAACGAAAACGATTTCTCCTGTTCCACTTCCAGCATGCAGCGCTGGGAATGCTGGAGGCTCGGCTGGAGGTGGAATAAGGGAAATCGTTTTCGTTCTCCATTCAACCCTAGACTTTTTCTAGAAATTTCATTCTATTGCATTAAAGTTGGCATATAAGATGTTCACTTGCCAGACCGGTATATTATACAATTTGTTCTTTTACATTGAGCTATCTACTTAGCCGCTCAATTCAACTATTCGTTAGTTATGTATTTTGCTGTATTAACACAAATAATTTGGAAAAATATATAGAGCTCATTGAATGACGATATGGACATCTTACTTAACTTATTGAAAAACTTTCCAATTTTTTCTACATTATCTATACCCGAGTCTATACCCAAGCAAAAACAATAAGATAATTATTGTTTATTCAATGATAAAATTCTGTTTAAACTTCAAATGCTCTTCATAGATTTGATAAAGCTCCAAAAAAAACCTTACCTGTATTTAAATTTATCTCCAGATATTAACATTTTTGAATACACATTTTGTACACACTCAGTAAAGTTAGTAGCCATAGCTGCCAGAAATCCAACCATATCAAAACTTAATTCGTTCACAGAGCATAGAGCCAGTCCAGACATGACTGGCAATAAACTAAGATTCACATAAAAACTAGTTTGCTCGCCTAAAAAATAGAGCAACGTTTAATTTTCAAATTTAGAAGTTCAATTAAGCATTATTACCTAATAAAAGTCTAGAAATCACGACTGTAAATAATGGTGCAGAACTTTTTATTGTTTCAGTAAAACTCACAGCAACATAATTCAAAGCTACCAGACCCAGTACGACTGTAGTAAACCTAAAGCTACCAACTAAAACCATGTGCCTATAAAAGCCAGGTGGTTTATTGAGCCTCTGTGCCGGTTTGTACATGCCGCATGGGAAATATAGTTGGATAAAACCACAGGTGGCAGTCATTAGCATTTGAGAAGCCCCTAAATTAGAAATTAAAATGTATATTATTGTACAAAATATAATTAAATCACTTACCTAGGACTGTTGGATTTCCATCTAAATTATTTAAAATGTATTTGTTTAAGAATAAGGTGCAGCCACTAAAAAAATACCATAGAAAAAGGAATGTTAGAGCTCTAAAATTCAAGAGCCCTTTTCTGCTTCTTGTTTCCACCAGACCCAAAACCTCCCGTTTTTGATTTTTTTCCTTTTGGACACCGTTTGATTCCACTTTTTTCTCATCATCAGGTATCAGTTTTTCCATTTTTCAGTCAGAACTTTGCATTACAACCGTTTGCATTGCTACGAACGCACTTTTTCAAGGGAATTTTGTATTTCATTTATTCCAATCTGAAAGTAAACATTGGGAACATAACCTCAAAATACTTTCACTTTTGTTTGAGTCAGTTCACTCAAGGATAATACACACTACTACTACAGGATAGACTATCCTCATAAGGCCTGTGTGGAACAAATCTGAAGCCCTCCATCACGCCAAATCACCAGTTGTGACGTAGACAGCATGTCGTTTATCGCCTTGACGTAGGCTGTTTGCACCACATGATTCCGCGGGTTTTTGCTTTATGCATTCTTGAACCGGATTTTCGCGATGAACTACTTTCATTACATGGTTTCATGAACACAAAAGCTTTCGCGAGAAACTCATGACGTCATATTGAACTTAGTTCGCCGGACGCAGCTTCCATCCAGCGTTCAAACTCATGACGTCACCAGACGAACTATGGTTCGTCCCTGGATGAACTTAAAACAACTCCTTTCTAGATCTCGTTTGCATCGCCCTCTTTGCCTATTTAGGCAATCCAAACCACGTGACATTCAAGATGGCGTAGCGGCCACACATGGGCCAAAAAACACACAAAAATATCTAATTTCTGCCCGATTTAATAGTTTGGGTACATAGTCAATAAATATTTTATTAAATAATCAAAATCAAAGCTGCAAGCAAAACTCTAAGCAAAATAATTTAAAATACGCTTAAAAACATATTCAAAACAAACTTGCTTGGTCGCCACGCCATATTGAATTTTCCTATTTGACAGATGGATTTAATTTTTTTTTAGACCGATCTCCTATTACGGACTGCGCGCGTTACTTGTAGGCTGCAGGTGAGCGTCCAATGAGAAGCAAGTTTGTGACAGGCTTGCGTCATATTCTTATTCACGGGCCAGTTCAGAATGAATCGTTCCTTCTTTCTTTGTAACGTGTAATTTGACAAAGAGCAAACAATACTTCACATATTATGGCTGGTTTATACAACATTTGCATAGTCGTAATCATAATCATAGTCTTAGTCATAAGAGTTAAAATAATATTTTCTTATGGAACCGTTTATACACAAATCATAATCATAAGCATAAGCATAAGCATAACTCAAAGTTGGCAACTTTTAACTTTTATGATTATGACTAAGACGAGATCCAAACTGCGCAAGCGCCATTAACAGCTGATACGGAGAAAAACAATTCAAATCTGCTATTTTAGTTCTGTTTGTAGTTTGTATTTAAATTGATCTTGAGTCATTCTAGAGTATTTAAAAAAAAGGGTCTCCATCGAGCTTCTACATGTCTTTGAATAATGTGGCAAAATGCCCTTCCTTCTGCCTTTTTTTATTGATGGGACTCACTTTCCACCTTCTTTGTTTATGGTTTGCGTTTGTTGAAGTGTTTATTATCAAAACTCAAAAATAAATAGGACAGACCTATCACTTGTATGGTTTTCTTTCGCAGAATTTTAATTTCCACACTTTTTGAAACTTTGAAAAAGTATTAAAAGTGAATAGACGAGTTCGATTCGCAAAAAGTAAACAAATTCTCCCTACAAAAAGTCGGGTTAGAGTTGAATTTATTTTATGCTTATGACATTGTATAAACGCCTTCTAAAATTGTGATTATGATTAAGACTAAGACTAAGACTATGATTCTGATTACGACTATGCAAATGTTGTATAAACCAGCCATTACTTGAACTCACCGCAGTTTCGTTTATAGGTAATGCTCAATGAACTATAACCAAAAACTGGAATGCGAACACATAAGGACGAACGTGAAGTCTAGTGCGGCTGCTGCGGAAGGGATACCTGTTTTTGTCGCACTCATTATGTTAAATGGCGAAAATTGCTTCCAACACGTATTCCAATTGATGAAACCTGTGAAGGGAAATATGACAAAGCTTTCGAAAACGTCATATGTCAGCGAGCAACAGAAAAAAACAACATTCCCCCTTGTGGCGTCTGTCTTTCATGGAGTTCGTTGGTTATGTTAGATTATACTTGACATATTCCTTTTGCAATTTAATTGAGCGATGTTGCCGGATGAAACATTTATCATAATAAAAGTGCAAAGGATGTTCATCTACTTTGAAGCTCTTCTTTTGTCTGATTTAAGGCGTTGTAAAACACTTGACACTATATTACATACTTCTTTAATGTTATAATGTTCGATTTGTATTGTCTACATTTGTTCTGCAACAATACAATCTACCCTGCAGCCTACGAGTTGCGCGCGCATGTCATCTTTTATTGTTTTCTAACTTGTATTTATTACAATGGCAGCAAATATCCAGTTAAGTTCCCTAAAATTTTGTAGAGGGCGCGAGTGAACTTGGAGTGTTTTAAATTTTGGCGGGAAATGTCAATAGTTACAAATTGTTTAAAATGAGAAGAAGGAAAGATGAATACATATGAACAATGGACAATGAAGAGGTTAAAATATCTTCCAAAGCGTTCAGTGGCCCTTAGAGAATATTTTTGAAAGTGTCAATGGCCACTTGCTTCAATATTTTAAGACTAACTTAAGTCAGACTTATCTTTGAGCCGGGACTTAACTCTAAATTTTAGTTGCACCAGCAGTCGAGCTAGACTTAAAGTAGCCTTAAATTGAATTTTCTTAAGTCACCAAAATCTAGGCCTTAAATTCGACTTAACATAATATAACCAGTAATAACATATAAATTTTTCATATTGTCAACTCATAAATGTCTACAAGCCCACAGACTATAAAAATGAAATGAATTTGGGCTTGTACTACAGAAAATTAACTGACTCTGCTGACGGTAGCAATAATTCTTGTATAAATTACGCGCACCGCAATGCAGTCAGGCAGAGGTTAGTCTCCACAGCCTTAAAGCTCCTCGAGGCTAGGCTACAGGCCTAAAGACTTTCTCTCCAAGTTGGGTGTGACTTGCTACAGTACGACTGAGATCCTAAAGGTGAATGTCGTGCTGTAGAAGCCCCGCTCTACGCCTCAAACCTAGACCTATGGAAACTAAGCTTCTCGAGGGTACATTTTCATAGGGCTGTTTGGGTACTATTGACAGCGTAGGGTTTTCTCCAAAAATAGGCATTCCAAGGGAATGGTCAATGATGGCCCACCAGGGAAGAACATTTACTGCGATCTATTTTTGCTAGACCCTATTTAATCATCTCCTACATAAATTAAGGTGTAACAATAGAACTGCGATCTATTTTTGGTAGACCCTATTTAATCATCTCCTACATAAATTAGGGTGTAACAATAGATGTATTAACTACTAGTGGTGAAATCTTTCCTTTCCCCCCATAACTTTCAGGATAAACCCTTAGCCGACGCAGCCAAGTGTAGATAAAGTGGTAGCACCGCTGACCACAAACAACATAAGTGTAACACATATATATCTTATTTTGTTTCTGTAGATCCTCTTTTTGATTCTTATAATAGTTGTTGAAGAATCCAAACTTCTCTCTCATGCCCGGTGAAGCAGCATTGAAATTCCTGCATACATACTCCCAGAAATCGTTTTTTTCATGAATGGATAGAGCATCAGTTGTTTTATTTTCAATAATATTTTTAAATCTTGCCAATATATTAATTAAAGCCTCCTTTTATGCTAATGTGAAATTCGTGCCCCTCTGCTTTTTAGAATTTGATTCTTCCTTCTTCCATTGCTGAAACTCTCAATCAGAAACACCCAAACACGGAAAAACCACAAATTACTAAAGACTATTTGTCAACTTCTGTCATTTCGCAGCGTTGTCATCGCCCCAAATTAATAAGTCCGACTTTGCCAAGTCGGCATAATTTGTCTATGGTGCAAGTGAATTAAATTAAAGGCTAACTTAAAATTAAGACCCGACTTAGCTAAGACCTATTTAAGTTGCGGTTGGTGCAAGTGGGCATTAAAACCACACATAAAACTTAACTTTTGAGGAAGCGCCCTCTTCAACTCAACTGTCAATATTACATGCCATTAGGCCAATGAACTATAGCTAAAAACTGGAATGCGCACACATTGCCATATCTGCCAAAAAAATGAAGCCATGAAAGACAGATGCCACAAGGGGGAATGTTGTTTTTTTCTGTTGCTCGCTGACATATGACGTTTTCGAAAGTTTTGCCATATTTCCCTTCACAGGTTTCATCAATTGGAATACGTGTTGGAAGCAATTTTCGCCATTTAACATAATGAGTGCGACAAAAACAGGTATCCCCTCCGCAGCAGCCGCACTAGGCTTCAAGTTCGTCCTCATGTGTTAGCATTCCAGTTTTTGGTTATAGTTCATTGCATTAGGCAATTCAAACCACGTGACATTCAAGATGGCGTGGCGGCCACACATGGGCCAAAAAACACAAAAAAATATCTAGTTTCTGCCGGAATTAATAGTTCAGGTACCTAAGTCAACAAATATTTTATTAAATAATGAAAATCAAAATTGTAAGCAAAACTGTATGCAAAATAATTTAAAATACGCATAAAAACATATCCAAAACAAACTTGCTTGGCCGCCATGCCACATTGAATTTTCCGTTTTGACAGATGGATTGAATTGCCTAATTAAGCTCTCTTTTTCTAATAGTTCAAGAGCCCAGAGCCGCCGGACACAACTTATTTTCTAAAGGACAGAATATGTGGGATTGAGCAGCACTTATAGGCAGTGATGTGCCTGTAGACCAGCGGTTCCCAAACTGGGGGGCGCGCCCCCCTAGGGGGGCTTGAAGCAACATTGAGGGGGGCGTAAGTCTTCTAAACAATTAATACAAATTTTAAGCTTCAAAATAAAAAATCAGGTGAAATTTTAAAAAAGATGTCTACAATCCTACAACAGCGCATACATAAGCCAAAGCAGCTTTGCCATGCGATCTGTTACTGTATTCCTTTTACCCGTTGAGTTACTCGGAGCTGCTGAGTGTCTCGGACACGAAGTCACAAAAATCCTCTAATTCCTTATTCTGTTTACATTTTGACAGCTGAATTGAGTGATCTAACCCAACTTTTTTTTGCTTGTTTGCCAACTTTTATTTATCCTGAAGATTCCTGAGTTTCAATAATTTTTCCTTGGTGTTTTTTATCGAGGAAATAT